TCCTCCCACTATGCTCATTATTATCATATCTCATCATCATCCTCCCCTTGCTCATCCTCCTTCCTCGTATCTCTCTCTCCCTCCACACTCTCTTTCTGTCCTCTATCTTCTCTCTTCCTCTTCATATCTGATCATCATCATCTCTAATCATCATCATGATCATATTGCGGCCAATCCCCCTCTCTCATCTCTCTCCCCTTTCTCTGTCTCATCTCTCTCCTCCTCTTCTTGCCTCTCTCCTCCTCCCTCCACCTCCTCCTCCCTCCTCCTCCCTCTCCCTCCTCCTCCTCCCTCCTCCTCCCTCCTCCTCCCCCCTCCTCCTCCTTCCACCTCCTCCTCCCTCCTCTTGCCGCTCTCTCTCGTTCGCTCTCACCGGGCCCGAGCAGGCGGCACGCGGCACGCGCGACAGCTCCGTCGCCTCGTGTTTTCACAGCTGCCCTCTCCAGCAATGAGAACGCCAGACGTCACGATCAAAAAACTCGCAGCTTCCCTTTGAAACCGTGAACGGCGAGAGTGGGCGACCCTCATTACTCTGGGATAACATCACGCGCCGCGGCACTAAAGAGTTTTTCAATTCTTCCCCCCCGCCTTACCCCCTTCCCCCCACCGCCACCACCCTCCCCCCGCAAGAGATCTTACAACAACAATAACAACAACGCACGCACGCAGAGAGAAAACAAAATAATCCAAAACTTCTAAAGTTATTTGTCAAACACAAAAAAAAATCTAATTTCGCGTAAAAAGAGGATTGAAGTTGTTTTCCCTAAAAACATTGACATAATTAATACGTGGAAATGTATGAAATTAAACATATAAATAAACATGTGAATACATGTCAGATGTAAGAATGGTTGCTATATTTGTCAGCGAGGATACGAATCACGAGTTCGCTTGGGAGACGATTCCTCTGCCCCCTGGTGAGAGGTGGCGAATAGGGGAGACCTGCAATCTAACGTCAGGAGAGAGCAATTGTTGAGATGATGCCATCCTGAACGATGATTATTATGAATACGCCTTTTGTTGGTCGGGTAACTTGCCGTACAAAGGCAACGATCTCCCGCGTGCGTAGCTTTGAACAGAACTTCGGGGAAAGTGCTGTTCGCGAGTAGCACCTATGAAGGCCGCCACGTCACACAGAGGAAGGTGGGTGGCCAGCACCACGCCCGGCCGTCTTTGTCTTAACAGTTGACGATGTTAACACAGGCAACAGGTACTCATTTGAGGCTGGGTCGACCTAGGGGCGGCCCAGATAATACACACGCAAAAGACAAAGATCCCCGTAGTGTAGCGGTTAGCGCTACGCTGCGCTATGAACCCGGCGACCCGGGTTCGATTCCCGCTCACGACCAACACCGGTGTTGATTATCTGAACCGGTCATGGGCCTCCCCTAGGTCGACTCAGCCTCAAATGAGTACCTGGTGTACCGTTACAGCCTTAATAGGTGCTCGCTAACAGCACTTGCCCCTACAGCCATGCACACAAAAATCCCCCATATAGCCTTAACAGACTGTAGAAGCAAGTGCTGTTAGCGGCACCTATAAAGGCCGGCACGGCACATGAGGGGGTGGGTGGCTAAGACCACGCCCGGCCGCCTTTGTCTCTAAAGTGACGATGTTTACACACCGCACCAGGTACTCATTTGAGGCTGAGTAGACCTAGGCATGCACACACACACACGTATACACATACATGCAAAACAAAGACAAAGATCCCCCGTATGGTTACACACCGCACCAGGTACTCATTTGAGGCTGAGTCAACGTAGGGGGAGGCCCCGGACCCGTTCAAAATGTTCGTCACTGTTAGTGGTCGTGAGTGGGAATCGAACTCCGGTCGCCGTGCGTGTGAGCGTGGTGCCCTAACCACTGTCACTAAGTGGCGTTGACGTCACCACGGCGCTTGTACCAGGCTACGTACACTGAGAGACCAGGTCAAGTTTCGAAGTTTGCTGACAGGAGGTCACGGGTTCAGACCCAGGTGTCATGAGTTGCCTGAAATGACTGGCAGATGCACCACCTGCGCTCCCTACTATGCCAACTCGATCTATTTTATCCATCCGGCGCTCTGCTCGTTGTTGTGAGCGTCGCTCCTCCGCCCTCCGTCGTTGCTGGAGGGCGACTGCCTCCAACTGCCCAGTAGCAGCAGCGTCCTTCACGAGCCTCCTCCAATGTTGACACCTCTGGTACCGGTCACCGGCAAGACCCCAATCATCAGCTCCACGTCCTCCTGTACCACATCAGCCCACGTCTTCTCTAGCCCGTGCCCCGCCCGTTTACCCCCCTCTAACCGGCTTGGCCATGCGGTGGCTGGACATGTGGGCTACGTGACCCAGCCAACGTAGCCTCGCCTGCTGGAGGGAGTTCCACAGTTGGGGGGGGGGGGGGGGGGTAACCACAGTAAACGCCCGAGCAGGCAGGTAGTCGACGCAGCTGGATTGAACATAGCGCGCGCGTGTCAATATCCTTCCGAACGCGTGCCCCTTTCTGTTTCCTCCTCCTCTTCTTCTTCTTCCTGGTTGTACCGTGCGCTCAGACAACGGCGTCCGACGTTTGGCTTCACGTGCCCGAGTGTCCAACACACGTGGGGCGAAACGTCGGACATCGTGGCCAACGACACGCGGTGGTACGACCGGAGAATCACGCAGCAGCAGAACCAACCCTGCCGTGTCTGGGAGAAAACAAAAAACGCGGCGACGCTGATGACACTGGGGGGGGGGGACCCGGCTGACTGTGGGTTGAGGGTGCTGCCAATGACAGAGTTAACATTCAGCTCGGTCGAAGGTCCGAGGGTGGAGGGGCGGGTGAGGGGCGGTGAAGGGGGGGGGGGCAGGAGGCGAAGGCCCGATGATGGGGTCGCGGTTGGGGGGGGGCTGTTGTGGAGAGGTGGGGGAGGGGGGGAGATTAGGAGAGGGAGGGGGGCAGCAGCTAAAATTCACTCGCTCCTAGCGGGGAGTTGAGCAGTCATTGGAGGGGGGTTGTCGCCACCGCCCGCTAATCGGGGGGTGGTGGTGGGGAGGGGGCTGGGCTGGGTGGGGGGAAGCGGGGGGGTTTGGTGGGGAGACGAGGGGGGCTGGGTGGGGAGACGGGGGGACTGGGTGGGCAGACGGCGGGACTGGGTGGGGGAGACGTGGGGGCTGGGTGGGGAGACGAGGGGGGGGGCTGGGTGGGGAGACGGGGGGACTGGGTGGGCAGACGGGGGGGGGGGGGTGCTGGGTGGCGAGATGGGAGGGGCTGGGTGGGGAGACGGGAGGGAACTGGGTGGGGAGACGGGAGGGGGCTGGGTGGGGAGACGAGGGTGGGGGGGGCCTGGGTGGGGAGACGTGGGTGTGGGGGCTTCCCCCTCCCCCATTCCCAGCTCGTCCGTTTATAGTTGTGACTTCTGACACAACAGCGCGCTCGTATTCTCCGCGTTGTCATGTGTTTTCTCTTTCTGACTCTCTTTTGTCTTTGAAGTAAAAGCCACCCCCACCACCAACCCCCACCCCCACCCCATCGTGCCCTCCTCCTTCTTCTACAAGAGACGAAAACGCAGCGCACATTTGAAATATGGAGCGTGTCTGGAACCACTCTTACCGCGTTTAAATTCCTGCGCACAACAGAATTCCTTTGCTGTCATCCAGAAAGCATTTAGATGAACGCCTCGCGATGTGCGTGGTGCTTGGGATGTTGGTGGTGGTGGGGGGGGGGAGGTGAGGAGGATAGGGGGAGGGTGAGGAGGAGGAGGGGGGTATCTCCTGGGCAGCCCCATGGAGGTTTCTATTCCTCCTCCTCACGATGAGAATCGGGTCTCTATTCTCCTCCTCTGTTAAGGGTTCCTCCTCTCGATTCGTGCAGGGGGGGATTGAGTGGAGTTCACTCGCTATACCTGTGAGCACTCAAGGTTGACGATCAAAACACCTTATAGACACACTTCTTCCAAAGCATCAAGTCGGCATTCGCCACGCGTGCTTGCGGTGAGACGTGTGTGCGTTGTCCTTGCAACTGATTGGCCGACGCCAGAGACAGCCTCTTACATGCCTCTGTCTTGGCTGTGTGTGTACGTATGTTGAACTTCTTCCGCACCGCACGTTACCAAGCGCGCTGATCGGAGGTGCCGGGGAGCGACGACAAAACTCGACGTAAAAAATCAATTCTAAACAAAAGCTGTAGGGCCAAAGGCTGCCAAAAGGCGAACAGGACAAGGGCGATGCAAACGCCGAAGTATTTACGAGCTCGGGTTAAGCAGTTCTATCTCCGTGACCCCTTTTAGCCAGTATCAATGCGACGTTTAAAACATCTTAACACCTTTTTTCTCTTCTTAATCATCCAAGTTCAACCAGGGTATGTGCGGGTCATTGCTTTCTCTCTCTCGCTCTCTCTCTGTGATGTGGGTCGTGCGCTGCTCCGCTGCTGTTAGTAACTGCGAGCAGTGTCACGCTGCCCGGCTCACGATACGCACAGCCCCGCCGGTCCGAGTCCATCTCCCGCCCCCGCAGATGAAACGGCGGTGGCGAGTTGCAGTGACTAAGACGCACGGTCCTCGCTTTGTTGTTCGGCGGTGATGGGCTTTATCGTGATCTGCACGTTTACATTGATGGACACGTTTCGTCAACGTCCGCTACATCTGTCCGCCTCTCTTGGTTGTGGTGGTTGTGGTGTTGGTGGCGGTGGTTGTGTTCACGTTTTACGCACACGTGGTGGTGGTGGTGATTGTGTCCGCGTTTCACGCAACCGTGGAGGTGGTTGTGGTGGTTGTGGTGTTGATGGCGGTGGTTGTGTTCACGTTTTACGCACACGTGGTGGTGTTAGTGGTGGTTGTGTCCGCGTTTCACGCAACCGTGGAGGTGGTCGTGGTGGTTGTGGTGTTGATGGCGGTGGTTGTGTTCACGTTTTACGCACAGGTGGAGGTGATGGTTGTGTTTGCGCGTCATCCACACGTGGCGTTGGTGGTTACGTTGGTGGTTGTGGTGGCTGTGTCCGCGTGTCACCCACCTGCACGCTTCCCTTGCCCTTGTCGTCAGCTCCAGGCCGGGCCGGCCCCCGAAACGAGCACACGGACTGCTGTCGCCCGACAGCATGCTGCCCCACCACGGCCTCCTCTCGCCCGGCGTGCTCTCTCCTCCAGGTAACTGGGGAGGCGGGGAGGACACTCCGCACTCACCTGGGCATCAGCATCATCAGCATCATCATCATCACCACCACACACACAAGGATGACATTGATTGATCGAATCGTTCATCCGTTCATTGATTTACTAAACCATGATGCCGCCGCACACGCTCATGTCTCTTCCCGGGTGCTGCCGCCGTCTCCGCGAGGTGACGGTGGGGGGGGGGGGGGGCGGTCAGCTGGGGGGGGGGGGGGGTAGGTAACGGGGGGCTGGTGGGGGGGGCAGGTCAGGGCTAGGGAGGGGGCACTGCGACTGCGGTGGTGGGCGAGGGAGGGCGGAGGTGGGGGGGGGGGGGTTATTCATTGATTCATTCGGTGATTCGTGCACTGTAGTTCGTGATTCATTCAGTTTTCTTTCGTTCCGTGGCTCCACGCGTTTCCTTTCTCTGAACACCCCCCTCCCTCCACGGCGTTATTTCGGACCTCTACGATGCACGCGGTTGGCTACGTACGGCGCGAAAGAAGTTTCAACCATGCGTACAGCAATGTGCGCATGCACCGTTACTTTTTTGTTTTTTAATATCGTCGCACAAAGTTTGATTCCCGCTCGTGCGATGAATTCCTTTGACCCGTTAATTCTCGGGGGGTGGTTCCGCAACGGAACGCGATGTCTCTCTCTTTGTTTCTCTTTGGATGGTGCCACTGCTTCGTAACTTATTCATGCGCACAGCAGTTCGTGAAGGTTGCTCGCGGATGATATGTGTTGTGCATTGTGCGCTATAAATAACCATAACGACCGCGGTGATTACGATTACAATCAATACCTGTCGCATCGGTGCAAAAAGAGCTTCGCAGATAATCGGCTTCCTCCTCCGGTCTAAATAAAGATTTGTATTGTGAGCGATGACTTTGTGTCTCGTCATGGCGCACCGCCGATCGGCACGGTTGGCTACGTACGGTGCGAAAGAAGTTAAACATACATGATCATCATCACGATCCATGGGCAGATAGCTCGTAGGTGTGAACTGCACATGACGTAATAAATATATAGCTAGTTAACATATTATATATATTATTGTACAGGGGGGGCAGTGTATTGTGGGTGGGGTGGGGGTAGCTTCATCTAGCAGTGGATTGACCATGTCCGATGATGATCATATACGATTTTGTGGTGGGGGGCAGTGAGCGGTTATTAGCAAACTGTGCTGTGAACCGGGCGGACCTGAGTTCAATTCCCGACCACGGCTAACATCAGTGGCGAGTGACAAATCGTGGTGATGTGTGATTACCAATCCTCACTGCCGATAACAGCGTGAGGGAAGGCCTTCATTCAGCCGTGGATTGACAAAGGGCAGAACATTATATGTGTTTATCTATGAGCGCGGGGTGGTTATACCATACATCAACACCGCTACTCGCCTTCAACAATTGAGCGTTCAGCCCCGACGAAGCTTGGTGGAGCTGAATGGAGTTTAAACGAGCCCACAAACACTTTGTTGTGAAAGACTCAACGCGTTCGAGCCCCTGAGTTTGAACTTCCACGAAGCTCACGGTCCGCCCTGAATCGCATCCACTGCACAAACCACGGCAGCAGACGCGGATACCCCGATGATGCACACATGGAAACTTTAAAACAAAAAACTCGCCAGTGTGCGACTGTTGTCATCCAGAACAGACCGTACAACAACATCAATAACAACAACAAGATTGCACGACTCAATGCCCGACCTCACAGACATCATCACAGCGAAACGCGACTCCGACAATCCTGACACGGTTATTATAATCTGGCTTGACCACCTGCATGTGGAATTGTGCTTTGTCGCTCTGCATCTACATCATCATCTACATCATCATCATCTACATCATCATCTACATCATTATCTACATCGTCATCATCATCTACATCATCATCTACATCATCTACATCATCTACAGCATCATCTACATCATCATCTACATCAGCTACATCATCATCATCATCTACATCATCTACATCATCATCTACATCATCATCTACATCATCATCTACATCATCTACATCATCATCTACATCATCATCTACATCATCTACATCATCATCTACATCATCATCATCATCTACACCATCATCTACATCATCATCATCTACATCATCATCTACATCATCATCTACATCATCGGCTACACATAAGACGAACTACAACGCTGTTTCGTGAAGTGGGGGGGCGAGACGGGTTCGGACATCACTCGCCACTGACGTGAGCCGTGAGCAGGGCTCTAACCACCGAAAGCACCCGCCGCCGATGACGTAAGCGCTTCCATAATAGGTGCTCGCTAACAGCGCCCATCAAATCTACAAACACGAACGACTGCACGGGGGGGTTGGTGGGGGGGACAAGTCGGCTTCCTTTGTAAACGTCTGTGAACTCGTTTGTACGAGTGTAGGGCTGGTGGGGGGGTGGGGGGCGTCGTGGAGGGAGGCGACCAAGATAAACAGGGGAGTAAAGAGTCAACGTTGGAGCTGACAAGCTTTCAAGGAGCGGGTTGAGGGCTGGTGGTGGTGGGGGGAGGGAGGTTTGAACCCTAATTTCACGACAACGCGTCTCGCTCCGCAAAAAACAGCGCTGCATTATCAATCAATCTCCCTCAAGCGCCTTTCACGGACACGGACACACACAAAAAAAAGCAACAGTCTCCTTTTGAAAGCGCAATTATATTTTACGCTATGGATATTACACAAAGCAGATTCCTTTAGGCGGAGGGGTGGGGGTCGTTTGTGTTGGGGGGGGGGGTAAGGGGGGGGGCTCGGTGGGGTAGGGGCCTGCGCGGGCTGGGGTTGGAGGCGGGGTGAGTGAACTCGAAATCGGTGTGGGAATCCAACTGGTACAGGGGAATGACGAAAGGAGTTAGGGCTGCGCATTGCTGTTGTTTGTACACGCACATACACACACACACGTGTGCAACATCTCCGATGATTAATAATCTTCAATCGACGATTCGTGTAAGTCTTCTTGGTTCTTTCGGTAAAGTCACGTAGAAGGGAAGTAATAAAATAATAAAAATAAAACATAATAAAATAATTCTCACGACGTTTCGGCCACAACGCAAGCAGCCGTCCTCAGGTGAAGGACGGAATCCCTGCAGTCACGAAAGCTTTAAATCGAAAAGATTCGTGTAAGTATATAGACAAAGATCCCCCCCCCCTGTAAACCCTTGAAAAGACTGCTGGGGCAAGTGCTGTTAGCGAATAGCACTTATGAAGACCGGCACGGCGCACGATGGGGTTGGGTGGCCAGCACCACTCCCGGACGCCTTTGTCTCCCCAGTAGCGATGATTACACACCGCACTAGCTTACTAATTTGAGGCTGAGTCGACCAAGGTGAGGCCCAGGATCGGTTAAGAAAATCGTCACTGGGTGTTGGCCGTGAGCGGGAGTCGAACTCGGTTCGCCGGGTTCGTAGCGCAGCGGCGCGCTAACCGCTACACCACCGCTCTCCACATGCACACATGCACGCACACGTATACACACACACACATACAGGCACACACACATACAGGCACACACACATACAGGCACACACACGCACGCACGACGATCTCCTGGGTTAAAGGGGCTGGTGTATTATAGCCACCACTGCAGTACTTTTTACTGCAGTGCAGAACGTTGTGAAGTACACGTACAGCTTTTTATTGCAATGGATGTACTTGCCCCCGTTATGCGAACGTGGAATTGGCACCACCGTCTTAAAAGAAGCAGTCAATGTTATCCCCGCGACGATTAGATTAACCGTCACACGATTCTGAGGGGGGGGGGGTCTCCGATCCCATTACGTGATTAAATTCGATTAAATTCGATTATTATTTTAACATTGCTGGGAACAGTACAGCAACAACAAAAAAACCCTCAACGCATTAATCAATAACACTGGAAAATTGCCCGACGTTTCGGGCAATGGCCCTTCTTCTTGGCACACACTACTACATCGTGTGCTTGACAAGGCCACAGTGTTAAATCGTTGACGCATGCGCCCAGTTTGTTGTGTTGACTGTTTTGACAGCCGCGGCAGCGGCATCACCAAATAATTTGTTTGATTTTGAGAATGATAGCGCCTCTGGTAGCTGTAGGCGCGAGGAGAACCCATCGCTGTACCTTACAAGGTATACGATACGCAAGTACGGCAAGTTTACACCATTGGAACCTCATTTGCCAGTAAACAACATAATTGGTTTTTTACCCTTTTATCTGGCAACAAAACTGACACTTTTTTTTTTACAAGGAGTCATGTTTGCATAGACCACAATACCTGCAGTCATCATGCGTGCGCCTTTTCGTGCGCCTTTTGGCGTCATCTGGTCCAACACCATGTGAGACTAGGCTCTAAGGAAAGCTGTCTCGGGTGTGGACCAATCAACTTCAAGGACAGTGCATACATTATCAGAGTTATGTTTTTTATTTGCATTATGACTGCAGGTATTGTGGTCTATGCAAACATGACTCCTTGTAAAAAAGGTGTCAGTTTTGTTGCCAGATAGAAGGGTAAAAAAACAATTATTACGGCAAGTTTAACAACCTCTGCTAACAACAATGAATCGATACGATGTTACATCCACGGAAATCCAGTGGAAACGATCGTCGCAAGTGTCGCTTCGATCGATTTTGTGGGCCAGGGTCAAGGTCAAGAGGTCATCGCAGCCAATGTTGTGGGTGCCACCGTACCTCGCCGTCGCTTCCTTCCTTCTGCCAGATATATCCTAAGTCGGGTGCTCTTGCAGTCTTACACACACACACGCACACTGCCATTAGGTCTACCCGTTTGTTTCACAGTATACTCTTCCTGCAAGGGTCGCTCTTACAAACTCACCACCACCAACTTTAGGTCTTCTCTTCCCCTTGGTCGCTGACCTCTGGGTGCCCCTCCACTGCTCGTCTCGGCGACCTGCCCTCCCCCCCCCCGACTCTGCGCACGCGTCCCACCCATCACATACAACACACAGTTGCACCATTGGTACCTCATTTGCCATTAAAAAATATGTGTTTTTTTACCCTTTTATCTGGCAACAAAACTGACACCTTTTTTTTACGAGGAGTCATGTTTGCATAGACCACAATACCTGCAGTCAATATGCAAACAAAAAACATAACTCTGATAATGTATGCACTGTCCTTGAAGTTGATTGGTCCACACCCGAGACAGCTTTTCTTAGAGCCTAGTTTTGGACCAGATAACGCCAAAAGGCGCACTCCTTGTAAAAGGTTTCAGTTTTGTTGCCAGAAAAAAGGGTAAAAAACCAATAATCAACACACAGTTGCTTTTGTTCCTATTTCAATTTGCTTCGTTGCTGGAACTTTATTTTGTTATCTCTTTATTAGTGTTATCTCGCGATGGCCAGATGCAGTCTCCGTCACGTGGTATGAAGGAGGTCGTAGGTTCGATCCCGACCCCTGACGCCTGCTCTATATTTGGAGTTTGCGTGTTCTCTCTCTCCCCGTGGGGTTTTCACTCCCACGTTTAGAAACATGCGTTGATAGTATTGTCTGCTATGAATGTCCACGCGATATAAGCTACTTTGTTGAGCTGTCATTTGCGGCCAGGTCGCTTCTGATAAAAGAGAGCGAATAGCCCGGTGGGCTGTATCTGCTAAAATAAAATAAAATCGTTTTTGTTGTTGCTTTTGCTCGTGTGATTTTGGTGACCCAGGTCACACTTGCAAATGTGACTCATGGCCAAGTCCCCTTGAGTTTTCACCTGCTGGACAAACAGCGTCGACTTGAAAGCTGGCACCTAAACAAACCGAGAATCTCTTCCCGATTGCATCGACAGCGCTTTCCTGCCACGCGTTTGTTGTTTCTCCAAACTTACACGTTAGTTCATCCGATCCAGCCACCGCGTTGTTAGCATCTTTCACGTGCAACCTACAGCTCAGACGCTTCTTCCCCAGTGGCTTTGTGGGTCAGAGCCGCGGCTCGCTGGGCCCGATGATTGTTAGCGAGCGCCTATCAAGGCTGGTAGTACACAATTGGCAGGGCGGAGGGGTAGGGGTGTTGGTGTGGCAAGCACCACGTACACCGGGCCGACGATTTCTCCACAGCGGTGCTGTTTGCTGTTCGGACAACTGCACCATATATATACAAGTATTCTTTTTTTAAGGCTGAGCCGACTTAGGAGGAACTCAAGCCAGCTTCAGATACCCCTGTACCACCGATGCGCGGGCATGGCTGGTTGATTGAACCCAGAAGTTTGGCCTCGTAGCTTAGTCCGCTGCTCGCGGTACCGCCTCTCTATACCAAGACAGACTCTGTCAGTGAGCACCTATTAAGGTCCGCGACATGAGCACGTGGGTGCGGTGTGGACAAGACCTCACGCCCGGCCACATTTCCTCCCGGCCTGCTGATTTTGACGACCGCCCCAGCTGCTCAAGGCAAGGCTGAGTCGCCCTACAGTTAAGGGGAGAATCGCGATCCTGTCCGCTATCACTCGCTGTCGGTGTTCGCAATTCCGTGACCGGGAATTGAACTCGGGTGGCCGGGTGCGTAGTGTAGTGCCTAACTACCCTACAGCCCCCGCGACGAGTACAATCCTTGTCAACGTGGAACGTTGGACCAACAGTGGTTCCAACCACCATGCCAACGTTGGCCGGACGTTGAAATGTTTACTGGGATATATCATTTTGCAATCAAAGGTGCGACATGAAGTTGTATTGACGATTAGCCCTGTTTGGGTGGCGGCCGCGCGTAGGGCAATCCGCTCCGTGTTTTACCACCACCACCAGCAGCAGCTTGTCTAGGGGGGGGGGTAACGAGGCAGGCAATGGGTCGTGCTGACCAACTGCGCCACCGCTCCCCATTGACACACATCCTCCCGCTCGGGTCAGCGTGACACTTTAAAAATAAATGCAGTCTCCATCCCTGCACCTCCCTCCCTCCCCTCCCTGCCCTCCTCCCCCTGTCTCCCTGTACCCCCCCCACCACCACCACATCGCTCGCGCCCAGGCCTGGGTCCCACGGGGGGCGTGAGCTCTGGCGCCGCCTTCCCGGAGAGTCTGAAGATGAAAAAGCTGAAGCTGGAGGCGGTGAATGGCGTCCATGGCAATGGTAACCCGAGCAACAAGGAGGGCGACACCACCGAGATGTGCTCCGCATCGGCCGGTGAGACGGGGGGGGGCGGGGGGCGGGGGGTGAGGGGGAGGGGGGATTGGGGGTGTCTGTGTTTTGAGTGCGTGTTTATTGGTGAGCGTGGTGTGTGTGTGTGTGTTGGCACAGTTGGGGACCACAGGGCGGGAGGGTACATCTGCCAGGCATCTCATGTCAGTCAAACCGTGGCACCTGGGTCTGTCACGTAAACCTCCTGCTGAGCAGAAAAAACATTTCACGTGATGGCCTCAAGGTGCACCTAGCCTGGCACAAGCGACGTGGTGGCGTCACTGCTAATTAGTTGGGAACGGCGGTTGTTGATGATGGTGTGTGTGAGTGGATGAGTGAATGGATGAGTGAGTGAGTGGGTGAATGTGTGGGTGAGTGAGTAAGGGGAGCAATAGTGTAGCAATTAACACACTGCGCTATGATCCCGGCAACCCGAGTTCGATTCCTGTTCACGGCCAATACAAGTTACGATTATCTAAACCGGTCCTAGGCCTCCCTTAGGTGGGCTCAGCCTCAAATCAGTATCTGGTGTGGTGTGTAGAAACATCGCCACTGGGGAGACAAAGGCGACCGGGCGTGGTGTTGGCCACCCACCCCCTCGTGCACCGTGCCGGCCTTCATAGGTGCCCGCTAACAGCACTTGCCCCAACAGTCTGTTAAGTCTATACAATAGATATTTGTCTCTGTGTGAGTGGGTGAGTGTTGTTGTGACCTGCAGTGCGGTGATGTTTGAACACCCATTAATGACAAGACCAAACAGTAGGTGTCTGGTAGAGCGAACCCTCAATATTAGTGAGTGAAACGTTCACAGGAATATAAACTACAAAAGTAGCGATATTAGAGTGATAGAGAGGCAACTGACCGCTGATGAGTGAGCGTGCACTGCCCCATTAATCACTCTGACTGCTGCTTCATGTTGATTTATATCAAGGGCACTGAGATGGGAACTGGGTGCTCCACCCCCGATATGTTTGAGTTGGAGTCTGGGCCAGGGTTGTGAAAGTGACTTGTTTCGTGGTGGCATTGACGCGAGACCCTGGCCACAACGGGGAAAAAGCTTCAACTCTCGTCCACGCTCTCTCCCACTCCTCCTTCCACTCTCTCTCTCTCACCCACTCCTCGCTCGCTCTCTCCCATTCGCTCTCTCGCCTTGTTTTCTCGGCGGTGTTTAACGCCCGAGACAGTCCCCGTCCACCCCCGTGGCCCGTGCTCCTGTCCCTCGTTAATTGCCTGTCACCCGGGGTAGCCGGCGGCTCGGCTCACGGAGCCCTTCGTGCTAAAGTGACTGCCAGAAATCTCAGCATACAAACACTCCCCCCCCCCCCACACACACACATGCAAACACCCCCCCCCCCCCCACACACACGCAAACACTCTTGCATCCCCAACACACCACCCCCACCCCCGACGCATCCTCCCGTTCAAACCTTGATGTCCACGCTGCACGCGCGCACACGCGCGACCCGAACGGTTACCGCTGCACCCCGCGGACACGCGGACTGGGCTGCCTTTGCTGGCAATGACACCCACAACCGCCACAAACAACACCACCCACGGCCACCGCCAAAGTGACCACCACTACCGAAGAACAAACATCCCCCGGCATAGCCTCATCAGCCTGTGTTGGCATACGCCTTGTTGTTGGTGAGCGCCGGTGAATATGCCGGTGCCGGACGCGCTACGAACCCGTCGACCCGAGTTCGATTCCCGCTCGCGGACAACACCAAGGACGATTATCTGAACCGATCATGGGCCACACCAAGGTCGACTTGGCCTCAAATGAGCAACTGGTGCGGTGTGTAAACATCGCCACTTGGGGAGACAAAGGCGGCCGGGCGTGGTGCTGGCCACCGACCCCCTCGTGCTCGCTAACAGCACTTGCTCCTACAGTCTGCTAAGGCCATACGGGGGATCTTTGTCTTTTTAAATCTTTTATATTAAGTTCGCTTGCTTGCTTGCGTGCTTGCTTGCTTGCTTACGACCGTGCAAATCTTTCGGTCGTTTTTTAACCCACTTCCCGTGATCCAATCGAGCTGACATTTTCCACACAGACTCGTTGTGCGTGACAATTAATTTTCGTGAAAAAAAATTTCCTAAATTTTTACACTGTTTAGGGAATTTTTTAAAATATTTAATTACCAATTGCTTAATGCTGGCAGACAATCATCTGACTCATAGGTGGCAGCCATCTCAAGCCAGAGGACGAGAGGACTCTAGCCGCCACGCATATAAAGGATTTATAGTGAAAAGCTTTGTTTTTACGGGTTAATTTTTTTGGTGTGCAGTGTGGTGGCGGTGGTGGCTCACACACCCCTCCTGGCTATCACGCCAGCGAGGTGAGTGCACGCGTCTGTGACAGCGGATTTACTTGCTGAGCTTCAGCTGAAAGTATCGCGTGCGTTGTGTGTGAGTGTATGTGGTGAGCGGTGGCGCAGCGGTTAGCGCACTGTGCTACGAAACCCGGCGGCCCAATATTCAGTGACGAATCACGTGAACCCGGTCCTGGGCCTCTCCTAGGTCGACCCAGCCTCAAATGAGTCCCTGGTGCGGTGTGTACACATCGCCACTTAGGAGACAAAGGCGGCCAGGCTTGGCACTGATCACTCTCAACCTTCTTCGCGTGGGGTGCTGGCTTTCATAGGTGCTCGCCACCAACAACAACAACTTGCACCTAAAAGTTCGTGAAGGCTGCACGGGTGGAGGATCTTTGTCTTTGTGTGGGTGTGTGTGTGAGTCGACGGGTGGTTGGGGCGCGTGACAGCGGGTTTGTGAGTTGGTGGATAACAGCACTTTAGAGAGTGGGGTTTGGGGGGGGTTGGCAACCGTAAGAGAAGAAATGAATTAAAAATGAATGCTTTATGCGTTGCTAGACGTACGTACGTTAAAGCGCATGTAGGTTTGCAAAGTGCACTGCTCTCTCTCAAACACCCACGTGTCCCCATACCCGCGGTGCCCACTCTACTTTCAGAAGTTGAACGCACACGATTGCTTTACCCCATGCACGGCAGACATTTGGATGGAAAGACGTGCATACATAATGTAGCCACTCACTCGTTTACCTCATTCAGCAACACACACAGCTATCCACTCACCAATCCACACCGTCACGCAGCCATATACTCACCTACTCACTTACCCACCCGCTCACACTCCCATACACTCACCTACTCACCCACCTACTCACACACTCATACACTCACCTACTCACCCACCCACTCGCTCACACTCCCATACACTCACCTACTCACTTACCCACCCGCTCACACTCCCATACACTCACCTACTCACCCACCCACTCGCTCACACACTCATACACTCACCTACTCACTTACCCACTCGCTCACACTCCCATACACTCACCTACTCACTTACCCACCCGCTCACACTCCCATACACTCACCTACTCACCCACCCACTCGCGCACACACCCATATACTCACCTACTCCTCCACCCACTCGCTCACACTCCCATACACTCACCTACTCACCCACCCACTCGCTCACACACCCATACACTCACCTACTCACCCACCCACTCGCTCACACACCCATACACTAACCTACTCACCCACCCACTCGCTCACACACCCATACACTCACCTACTCACCCACCCACTCGCTCACACACCCATACACTCACCTACTCACCCACCCACTCGCTCACACACCCATACACTCACCTACTCACCCACCCACTCGCTCACACACCCATACACTAACCTACTCACCCACCCACTCGCTCACACACCCATACATTCACCTACTCACCCACCCACTCGCTCACACTCTCATACACTCACCTACTCACCCACCACTCGCTCACACACTCATACACTCACCTACTCACTTACCCACTCGCTCACACTCCCATACACTCACCTACTCACCCACCCACTCGCTCACACACTCATACACTCACCTACTCACCCACCCACCCACTCGCTCACACACTCATGAACTCACCTACTCACTCACGCACTCAATGCTCACACACCTATACAACAAACAAAGACCCCCGTATAGCCTTAACAGACCGTTGGGGCAAGTGCTGTGAGCGAGTAGCAACTATAAAGGCAGGTACGGCACACGAAGGGTTGGGTAGCCAGCACCACCCTCGACCGCCTTTGTCTCCCCAGTGGCGATGCGTACACATCGTACCAGCTACTCATTTGAGTCGACCTCATGCACTCACTTACTCACCCACCCATTCACTCGCTCAGGCACTCATACACTCAACTACTCACTCACCAACACCCACCCAATGCACCCGCTCAAACATCCATACACTCTCATGGCCAAACACTCATCCACTCGCTCACCAACGTGCTCACCAAAGTAAACTCTCACATGCACACATACTCTTGTAACCGATTGCACACACTCACTCTCACAAATATCCCCCGTGTAGCCTTAACAGACTGTAGGGGCAAGTGCTGTTAGCGAGCACCTAGAGAGGCCGGCACGGCACACGAGGGGGTGAGTGGCCAACACCACGCCCGGCCACCTTTGTATCCCTAGTGGCGACGTTTACACATCGCACCAGGCACTCATTTGAGGCTGAGTCGACCTAGGGGAGGCCAAGGACCGGTTCAGATAATCGTCACTGGTGTTTGTCGTGGGCGGGAGTCGCCAGGTTCGTAGCGCAGCGTAGCGCTAACCGCTACACTACCGCTCCCCACTCTCACACACATCTACTCACTCACCAATCCATTCTCTCACCTACGCACACGTGCACGCACCAACCAAGTCACTCACTCGTTCACACACTCACCTAGTCATTCAAACAATTACTCACCTCTACAAACACTCATCCATGCGTTCACTCAGTCACCCGGGTATTCACGCAAAAACACGTCCACTCACCCATGCATTCACAGGAACACGCGCCAAACACCAACGTGTGCGTAATATTACCCACCCTCTCACTCACCCATAAACTCACCTACACCCCCACCCGCCGATCCATAAGTTAACGTACTCAGCCACCAGGGTTGCGATTTCCGCATGGAAAATGCGGAAGGAGGGTTCAAATTTTCCCGCATTTTTGCTAAAGTCAACCGCAAACGGTGGAAAGACTACTCCTATGACCGCGCGCTTTTAACAACACGTTAATGCGTTCTATTGGAAAGGATACATCATGTACATGTGCTCGTAATCACGGCTCCGCATTTGAATAAAGTATGTGGTTCTTGTGCGGAAATGCGGAAATCATATATTCATTCCAATCAGTAACTCAAAGCCCTACGTGATGCTGGGCCTTGCATGTATCCTTTCCAATAGAACGCATTAACGTGTTGTTAAAAGCGCGCGGTCATAGGAGTAGTCTTTCCACCGTTTGCGGTTGACTTTAGCAAAAATGCGGGAAAATTTGAATCCTCCTTCCGCATTTTCCATGCGGAAATCGCAACCCTGTCAGCCACTCACTCACTCACCCGTACCCTCACACTCACCTACTTATATGGTCACACACCGTCTCATCCACCCATGCATTAACCTATTCACCCACCCGTCCGCTCGCACACTCACCGACTCATTCACATACCCAAACACTCACATACTCATTCACTCAAACACTCATACAGTCACCCACCCACTCAACCACACACCCATACGCTAACTTGCTCATTCACCCAGCCACTCACTCACCAACACTCCATATATACATTATCCTACTCACCTGCTCACCCGCTCAAGCCCACTCACTCACCCACCCATATTCTCAGATGCACAGACACCCGCCCATTCACACACACCAATCCAATACAACCGCCATTCGCCACTAAGTGACGGTGACGTCACCACGGCGCCTGTGCCAGGCCAGGTGCACTTTGAGGGCACGTGAAGTGTCGAAGGCTCGCTGACAGGAGGTCTCAGGACAGACCCAGATGCCATGGGTTGGCTGACTGAGATGACTGGCAGATGCACCAGCTGTGCCCCCTACTGTGTCAACTTACTGCATTTTATCTGCCTGGCTCTCCGCTCGTTGTTGTGAGCATCGCTCCTCTGCCCTCCGTTGTTGCTGGGGGGCGACTGCCTCCAATTGCCCAGTAGCGTCCTTCACACACACACCCACTCACTCACCCTCCTGCCCATACATTAACCTATTCACCCACCCACTGGCTCACGCAGCCATATTTAACCCACTCGTGAACCCAACCTCTCACACACCCATATGCGCATATACTCACCCACTCATTCACCCACCCTCACACCCATAAATTACCCCGGTCACCTACAAACTCATCCGCTAGTTCGGAAACTTTCACTCATTCATCCCACCCGTCCTCACTCAAAGACAAAGATCCCGCGTGTAGCTTCAACAGACTGTTGGGGCAAGTGCTGTTAGCGAGTACCTATGAAGGCCGGCACGGCACACGAGGGAGTGGGTAGCCAGTACCACGCACGGCCGCCTTTGTCTCCCCAGTGGTGATGATTACAGACCTCACCAGGTACTTCAGATAATTGTCACCGGTGTTGGCCGTGAGCAGGAATCTAACTCGGGTCGCCGGGTTCGTAGCACATCGCGCTAACCCCTACGTCACCCACCCTCACTCACCGACACACTCACCCACTCCACCTACTCACTCACCCACCCACCCACCTATAAATTAACTTACTCGTTCACCCACCCACCCACTCACCCATCATCCTACCCGTCTATTAACCTTACGCTCACCTACCCACCCACTCATCCGCCCGTGCGCGCACGCGCGCGGCGGCTCCACGACTCGGCTCAGATCACGCGCTCGCGACGACAGTCTGGGGCAGCGTGAACGCGATTCCCGCGGCATACGCCTGCCTAGGGGGGGCGGGGGGGGGCGGGTGGGGTGGGGGGATTGTTGGGGGCGCTCTCAGTTTTGTTCTTTTAATAATCAATCAATAGGCCAACCAGCTCGCCATCTGTCTGGGAACACCCCTCCATCCCTCCCCACCTCCTGCAACCCCCCTCCCCATACAGCCCCAACTCGCACCCCCATTGCACCCCCATCACGCACGCACAGCCCCCACCGCCCCCACCTCTTCTCAGTCCCCCTCCCCCCCCGCCTCGCCTCCTGTGGCATCTTTGTGCTCATGTCAGGTCCTATTGTGGAGCATTCCGCCAACCACTCACCCGGCATCCCTCCGATCCCGGGCCGCCCTGCCGACATCCCATTGTCTGTCCCTTATCAGCCCTCGGCTCGCATCATCCCCTCTCCGTCTCGCATCCCCTCTCTCTCGCATCCCCTCTCTAGCCTGCTCACCCTCTCCGCCGCCTGCGATCGAGACCGCCACACTTTCTGCGAGGCTCAGCCGGAGCTCCCACGCGCTGCAATCGGCGGGCAGCCTTTCCCCCCATCGCTCCGTCAGCCCCGCTCACGTTTCCCAAGAGCCGCGCCCAAACGACAAAGTCGCTCCGCCAACGCAATCGATTTTTTCCTTTTTCTTTCTTTCTTCTGGACCCCATGTCTAACGGAGAGCGGCCCTTGCCCGTGAACATCTGGGCAGTTCACTCGTCGTCGGTTCCAATCAAGGCTGCATCCCCTGCTGATGAGACGCTCTTTCGTCAAAGCCGGTCCAGAGTTTGCTTGTACTGAACCAATGCTGCTGCAATGATGCGCCGCTGTGAAAGTGATTGACGGCGAGCGTGAACAACGCGTCTGTTTTGTTTGTGCACGGACAGATGTATGAAGGAGACATAATTTCTAGATTTGCCATTTCTGGCATTGTCACCCCTGCAGATTGCTCATAGGCCCTGCCCACTACCCAGGTAGCTCCGCCCACTGCTCAAGTAGCCCCACCCACTCCCCAGGTAGCCCCGCCCACTACTCAGGTAGCCCCGCCCACTGCTCAGGTAGCTCCGCCCACTCCCCAGGTAGCCCCGCCCGAGTCATCTTGAGTTGAGCACGAGACCAAGAAATGTAAAAATAGGACAAGATATCGATTTTCACAAAAGATTCGAGGGGAGACACCGGGACAGACTTCATGAAAGCACTGGGACTGTCCGACCTAACCAGGTCAATTGTTAGCTCTACTGAAGATCATTACGGTGAAGTCTTTGTGCAAGAACTTAAAATATATATACATACCGATGCCTATGTTGTACTGATGATTCCTACCAACGGTGAACCGGTACACAGTTGTTTGGCAATCAACTGCTGCTGTATAAAAATAATGACGATAATTTTGACTCCTTTGAGTTGGTGGTCTGGAACAAGGCGGTGCGATGTCAGGTTCAAGTTTAATCGAAGTCTATTTTGTTACACCAGGTGAGAACTCAAGAGACCAGGGTAGAGTATCATGTGCTCCGTATAATCCAAATGTAGTCATTTGCAGTGTAATCCTTCGAATTCGGTAATTTTGGACCCTGATGCGCAAGACATGATGGGAGGAGCGATCCCATCGTCACAATCTTACTTATTGCCCAGTAGAAACCACATGTTCCACGTGTTACTTTCTTAAATGGCATACTTACAATTGTACCAAGCAATGACAGTTCCCAAATGTGCTGCTGCACACGACGAAACGCGTCGCTGCCAATCGGCGAGCTGATCGATGCCGTGAGCAATCGATCGTGCAACTGTTCGCAAATGGTCGCACGTAAGCGATTCGGTAGCTCGGATCCAACGTAGGCTGGAGACAGACAGATGACACCGAGAGAGAGAAAGTATCGCACATGCAATGTGGTGGTCACGTGACACGCATGCAAGGCATGATGGGTAGGAGACGCGCCCTCCTGGTATTTGTGAGCAGAACACCTCTGGGTGGTGTTGAGTCCAATCCGCCCTGGCACTTGCACCCGAACTGATTATTTTTCAAAAGAGACCTGGCCATAAATGATATCTCAACGGAGTGGCTTATCACGTGGAAATGTATAACAAACCAAATACCCTAAACGCCTATTGATTGTAAATGTGGAGGGAAAAACCGGAGGACACGGAAAAAAATCCACACAAGCACACGGAGAGAGAGAGAGGGAAAACACGCGGACTCCAAATGCACACGCGTCATGGTCAGGATCAAACCCACGACCTCCTGTATACCAGGTGAGGTAGTTAACGTCTCACCACCGCGGCGCCCCATCCCCTTAGGTGGATGCCCTCCCGGAACCACCAATGCTTGTCGCTACATCCACCAGGTGTCCAAATACGGACCCGGGCTTAACCCCCACCCGCCCTGCTTTCTCCTCCCCCCGCCCCCCCCCGTGTTTCCGGCAGGTGGAGGTGAGGGTCTGTGGGACAGGGGGAAGCACCACTCCCCCAAGACCCCCCTGACCCCCCCGGGGATGAGCGCCCAGCCCCTGTCGGCGACGCACGGCCCCCCCACCTCACACCCCCTCACCCAGCTCCAGCAGAGCTCCCTCTTCTCCAACGGTGAGGCGCGAGACGCAGTCAGTTGTCGGGGGTGGGTGGGTGGGTGGGGGGTAATTCATTGTAGTGGTGATGATGATGGTGCAGAAGACCCTACCAGTACATTGCCTCTATGGGTCTCTATGCGAGTCTTTGGGACTCTCTATAAGTACACGGGGCTCCCAACGAGTGTATGGGACTCTATACACGAGTCTATAGGTTTCTCTATATGGGTATAGAGCTATATGGGTTTCTATTTGAGTGTTTCTGAGTCTATTCGTCAATATATTGGTAAATGCGTGAATCTGTGAACGTTTATGTAAGTGGGTTTCTGTCTGAGTTTATGGGTCTCTATATGAATCGATGGGTCTATATATGAGTCTATGGGCTCTCTATATAAGTAGATGGGTCTATATACGAGTATATGCGTGAGAACGCTGCAAATGATGATGCCACTGCCAGCACATTTCAGTTTTCTCAATGAATCCACGTGCCCACGTAATCACCAGAGTCTGGAAGTCTCTGAGTGGAGTTTGTGGCCTCCTCAACCCAGAGCCAAGGGGGTAGAAACTCGCCGCCCATAGAATCCACCTCCTATACAGCGACGCTCAGCGTAACTTCGAATTTTGTAGAAATCGAAAGTGGACGTAGACAAAAATAATCTGAAAAATGCCCAGAGAATAACGGATTCAGATTGATTTTCCACTCAAATTATCATTGAGGTATTGGTGCTCTCATACTGTTTACAGACCTCAGCCAGTGGTGAGAATTCCACATTCCGATGTTGGGGGCGAGTCTATCCATAGGACAACCAGGGTTGAATTCCCCATAAATTAGTACTTAATTTATCGATCCCGGAGTGATGATGGGTTGAGTCACCCTGCCAACCAGGAATTAAACTCGCGTTCCTTCCCGATTGCGTGCCGCTCGTTCTACGCCTGAGCCACCTGGCCGGTTAGGAGAGGAAAAAAGAGAGAGAGAGAGAGCGAGAGATGCGCTTGGGATTACTCTGCAGAGACGGAGAGATGAGCACGTGGGATTAGAGAACCGCGCGCAGGTTAGAGACCGTCATTCAAACCGTGAGGAAAGGTGAGCGGTGCTTGCTGGGCAGGACGCATCACACGGCTTCGAAGGGACGACGGCGAACGGTCAAGGATAATGATGGAGCGGCAGGCAAGGAATGCAACCGTGTGGATAGGACGTGGAAAGCAAAGCCTTGATGCGGATCGAAGAGATGGCGTCATTAATTAAATGAAAGGCGTCAAAGCGTCTCGACGTTGTTTTTCCTTCTTTTTTTAAAATGAACTCTGGGCACGAAAGAGCGATGCAGATATTCAAAAGCGATGTTTATTATCGAAAAAAATAACGAATCATCGGAAGTAAAATAGCAAACACCTCATAGTCTGAGGAGAAGGTTGTGGTTGTTGTTGTTGTTGTTGTGTTTCACGGTCAACACAGAACCACACACATGTGCGTCACTTTACCGGGATGTATCATTACAAAACAAAAACTTAATAAATGTTTTTACTTAAGACGAGGAATCAACAACAATTATTTAATAACTTTATGCATACAACACAGTGGCAAGAGGCTCCTGCTGAATTAAAAACGCTCAACCGCGATCTTAAGTCGACTTTCCAAATCACGTCGAAAGATCGAGTGATTTGCAATATCGGAGGGTATTGGACCAAAGGCTCAAGGCTATTGATGCATAGTCAACACCTAACCAGCAGCAGCTAACTTAGTCTACTTTCCAGAACATGGACATTAAACGTATCTACAGCCTACACGATACCCCCATCAATGACGCTTGGAGAGGGACCAAGTTTTTTATTATGAATCGAAGTCTTTTAAAATTAAGGACGGCCGACGGACGGGCATGCGGGATGGTATATTTTCGCCGATATTTTTGGGCCTTTCGTCCCGAGTGAAAAACGCAACCTCTAGAGGAAAAGATCGATTTGCCAATCCTCGTCGCAGCGATCAATGCCATAGATGTCAAAACCATCGGCATCTCTCGCACGCGGTGAGCTAGATGGCGTCGGCCCGGTCTCCAACGACTCACGCAGAGACCCATAGAGTCCACATCGATGTTAAAATAAAATGTATCAAGTTTTTTTTGTTTATGCCCATCGCTAAATACAGAGAGCGTTTGACGAGCACGACCACCCAGGAAAGAGAGAGAGAGAAGGTGATGACAGGCGCTGCACAGATGGTTACGTTTCAGAACCATTGACGGGGTGGTGACCGCTTGGGGTAGGCCTTCAGCCAGCAGTGGATTGATCCTGGCTGATGATGGTGGTGATCATGATATGTGAACGTATTCATCTGCGGGCGGCACAAACGGCCATGAATATTCAAATCACCGTTTGAGTAAATATTGCTTGTGTTATTTATTTATGTGTGTGTGTGTATTACCTAAAGTGCTATTCCGATTGCCTCTTGTGTTCGTGGATATTTAATCACTGCATTATATAAAAAAACATGTTTTTAACAAATCTTGTAAAACCTTCCATCGCCAATGTGACCCATGTCATACAACGCACTCAATGACCCAACGACTGGAATGGAACGTTCTGTTACAACAATTGTGTGTTGTGTGCGCGTGTCTTGCTTGCGTACGTGGTTCGAGACGTGGCAAAACACGCGAGCACCTGCGGTAATCGTGCAATTTGGTTTTTAAAAATGTTTTCGAGGCGGGCCGAGTCGCTCAGAGGTCAGAGGCGATGAGTCATCATTGCAGAGGTCCCAGGTTCCGACGACGCAGGATTCAACCACCAATTGCGATTGAAACCGGGCTCTCGTGTGGATGGGGGGGGGGGTGTAGTGATCTGATGGTTTTGGCATGGTCACCACTGACTCACTCACACCGAGACCCATACGAGAGTCGCATAGAGACTCATAGATTCACATGGACACCCACGGGGACTAGATTGCGATTAAGACTGGCTTCTCAAGTAGTAGTTGGTTGATGTTTCAGACTAGTCACACAAATACCGTCATTTTAAATATGGTCCTGTCCCGCACTTTATTGTAGTTACAATTTCAGGTTTGAGAATCATAATATCGGTTTTACTGTCATGCAGCGAACATTACTGTAATGTGGTAGAGTGGGTGGGCAAGTGCTACGCTCTACTACTGTGTGGACCAGAGGGCACGTGAAGGGACCTCAGGGATAGCTCTGTGATATCCGCTTCCACGGGCCACTCTCCAGCATGGAAGATCGCGAGATTTACGAATTGATTATTCACCAATTTGCACAATAGGGATAAAAATTGAGTGGGGAAATTTACAAAGAAGTTTGTAAAATATGTGCACCGCTCTGCGGAAATAATTCATGAAGTCATTCGCAAACTCAACGCATTCGTCAATAACATTGTGGCCTTGAAATATAAAAAAAAAACATATAGTAACAAGTGACGTTTCGGGAAAAGGGCCTTCATAGCACATGAAAGATGTGTAAACAAATTATGCCATTTATGCACTGTGAAGATGTGTACACAAACACCAACAATGCACTAAGATTACCAACAATACGAAACGTCGCCTGTTATACACCTTTTCTTTCAAGGCCACAGTGTTATTGTCGAGCGTGTTGAATTGTTAACTGTGTTTGTGCACCACTGCCAATGCAGCATTACCAGCAGCAGGAGCATCAGCAGCAATTGTTTTTGTCTGATCAAATATTTGCGTCAGTACGAAATAAAAATAACGTTTCTTTGGCCCACGTCCGGCAAAGGGACAGCAAGATGCTGTTTTGTTTTCGCCAAGTCCCCGTTTGTTGCTAGTCGGTCTACAGGACGAAACGTGTTGATGGCTCTCACCATTGGTGATGGGGCAAATCGAGCATAATTCTATAAATACTTCTGCCACGTCGCCCATCCTCCAGCGATTGATTTCTCCCGGAGCTGTGTGGCCGGTTTGACCCTGACGCGCACGAAATCACATTAGCAGCGAGTGTGCCCCCCCTCACCCCCCTTACACACAGACGACAAAGATCCTCCGTATAGCCTTCGCACACTGTTAGGGCAAGTGCCGTTCTTAAAGTCAGAGTCAAAGTGATATTCCTGCTCAAGTGATCATTCGGTCATCGGTGCTCGTTTTGTTTACAGGCCTGAAGCAGTGGTGGAGACATTCCACGTTGCTATGGTGGGGGCGTGTCTATGCATAGGACAACCACTGTTGACTTAACCACAAGTTGTTATCTATTGTATCGACCTCGGAGAGATGATGGGCTGAGTCAACCGCCAAATCAGGAGGTGAACTCGCGATTGCGAGCTGCTCGCTCTACGGCTGAATGCTGTTGGCGAGCGTCTATGAATGCCGGCATGGCACACAAGGGGATGTGAGGCCAGCATCACGCCCAGCCACCTTTGTCTCCTGAGTGGCAATGTTTGCACACCACATCAGACTGAGTCGACCTAGGGGAGGCCCAGAATTGGTTCAGATTATCGTCACTTGGAGTTGGCCGTGAGTAGGAATCGAGTTTGGGTCGCTGGGTTCGTGGTACAGGACGCTAACCGCTACACCACCGCTCCCCACATGGCATACGTAAATACACCAACATTGCACTTGTAACTGATGTTAGCCGTCACCAGAATTCAAACTTAAATCACTGGAGATTGGGACCCCGTAGGGGGGAGGGCGGTGGGTGGGGGGGTTATCCCCAACAATATCAACCTTTGCTGTCTGTTTAACACGAGGGCTTTCGTGACCAATATCATCTGTAAGAAAGTTTTTTTTTGGGTTAGATCGCATAAATATAAATGCGTCGTTAAACCCGCCACCACCCGACACGGCCAATCAGTAATGTTCGTCAAGTAAAAAAAAGTGCCTATTAGTTACTATTGCAGCGTACCGTTGTGTTGGAGAATAAACCCACAACATTTACACGTTGAGTACGACGTTTCGCTGGTGATTACAACAACCAGCTTCATCAGGCGATTAACCAGATAAAAACTCAGGGTCTGTTTTTTGATCGCGGGTTCGCTCATCATTAATTGCGGCGGTTCATTTTCAAATATTCTGCGCCGTGAGATATCCCGATTGTGATGCCCCATTTGTCTCTTAACCAGGGGCTCAGCTACCACTGTGGGTGTCGTGGCTATCCGGACACTCCCAAAATGTTCTAGGTATGGCTCAGAGACACCCACAGAATGTTGGACGACAAATAAAAAAAATCTGATATTTTTGTGCTCACGACTCCGCATTCGATAATCCGAGTGAACGTGGAACCTTGGGCCAACGTTGCGCCAACGTTGGTCCACCCGCATGCCAATGTCTCGACGTTGGCGTGTTTCCCAGGAAGGTGACATAAATGCTGATTGTGCCGCTGATGGAATATTTAATACCGTGTAACAGTGGCGCATGAGCAGCAGCAGGCTCAGCACTGAAGATAGTAGCCAGTAGGAGTTGTGTAGATGTAATACAATCACAGTGCAGTAGAACGCTTAACCGTGATGAAGGGGTGGAGGGGGGGATGAAAGTAGGAAGGGCCTATCTGTAATCTACCCAGAAACCTCCTGGAACCGTTTCGCTAGTACGATACCCCGAAACTCCCACAGTCTGGCTGAAACCCCATGCGCTTAACTACAATGCATCGCTGCGAGGGAGATGTGCTCCTGATTGCTCATCAGAAAAATACCGAAAATCTGGCCTGGATATGAAATTTCGGACGATTCAGAACCCCCCCCTCCCAGCAACTTAAAATGTAGTAAAAAAAAAAGGGAAGTGACGTCACAAACACCACTTCACTTCTGCTTTCCCGCCAAAAACAGGCGGCACGTGGCGTCCAGTGACGTCACAGTCGTGGGCACATAACTCGGTGCAGCTGATCTGAAATTTGGAAAAAAAAGTTACCCTTAAACTTCCTTTAAAAAAATCCCAAACCATCCTCATTATTCTACTTTAGTTTTTTTTACTGAAAATAGTCAGCGACAAATATTTACTGTCGATGGCGCGTGGGGGCGCGGGGGCGGTGGGTGGGTTGATGAAAAGTCCCGAGTCAGAATCAGACTTCGTGTATATATTCATACTGGAAGAATTTGACGAGCTATACAACTCTTTTTCACAGATGTCCAGTAGGGGCGGGTAAGAACGTTTACAACAAACAAAACAATAACGCGATAGGAGTGCAATGTATAGGAAAGGTAAACAAAACACTTTAAACAAATATACAAATAAAAACTAAACCATTTTATCTTACCCTGCAAAGCCCACTGAGTTATCTAGCTTCTTTTTCAGAAGCGACCTGGCCACAAATGGTAACTCAACGAAGTGGCTTATCACGCGGACATTTATAGCAGCAAAATAATCTAAATAACACGGTGCGACTGATCCGAAATTCCGAAAAAAAAGTTACCGTAACATTTCCTCAAAAATCTAAAACCATCCCCATTATTCGTTTTGTGTTTTTTTTGTTACTACCTGAACATAATCACTGACAAATATTTAAAGCCGAGGGCGTGGAGGGGGGGGTGAAGAGTGAATTATTTTAGTCCAGGGGATCGGCAATCAAAATAACAATAAGGGGCATTTTTTTATTAAAAGCTTTCGTGACTGCAGGGATTCATCTTTTTGGTTCTTTCGGTAAAGTCACATAGAAGGGAAAGAATAAAATAATAAAAATAAAACATAATAAAATAATTCTCACGACGTTTCGGCCACAACGCAAGCTTCAGACGCTGTCTTTCCGACAGACCTGTTCTTCACCTGAGGACGGCTGCTTGCGTTGTGGCCGAAACGTCGTGATAATTATTTAATGTTTTATTTTTATTATTTTATTATTTCCCTTCTACGTGACTTTACCGAAAGAACCAAGAAAAAGGGGCATTTTGTTTCGAATTCGGTACACAAACCCCCCCGTCGACATGTGACGTGGCGCATTGCACCGCGTGGTGAATACGAGACTGCGGGTCCTTAAAGAGCCGCACGCAGCTCCCGAGCTGTAAGTTTGCCGACCCCTGTTTTAGTCAGCCTCGTCATCATCATCATCTCTCTCTCTTTCTCGTCTGCCCCCTGCCCCCCCCCTCCACGAAACCCTCCCCCCTCCCAAAACCACCCTGCCCCCCAAACCAAATCTCGCCTCCCCCTCCCAAAACTACCTCCCCCCCCCCAAAACCACCCTGCCCCCCCCCAAACCACCCTCGCCCCCCCTCCCAAAACCACCCTGCCCCCCCTCCCAAAACCACCTTCCCCCCCCCCAAACCACCCTGCCCCCAAACCACCCTCGCCCCCCTCCCAAAACCACCCTCGCCCCCCCTCCCAAAACCACCCTGCCCCCCCTCCCAAAACCACCTTCCCCCCCCCCAAACCACCCTGCCCCCAAACCACCCTCGCCCCCCCCCCTCCCAAAACCACCTCCCCCCCAAAAAAAACAATTCTGCCCCCCCCCCTCCTAAAACCACCTCCCCCCCCCCCAAAAACCACTCTGCCCCCCCTCCCAAAACCACCCTCGCCCCCCCTCCCAAAACCACCTCCTCCCCCAAAAAACCACTCTGCCCCCCCTCCCAAAACTACCTTCCCCCCCCCTTCCAAACCACCCTCGCACCCCCCTCCCAAAACCACCCTCGCCCCCCCCAAAACCACCCCCTCCCAAAACCACCCCCCCCAAAAACCACTCTGCTGCCCCCCCCCCCTCCCAAAACCACCTTCCCCCCCCTTCCAAACCACCCTCGCCCCCCCCCTCCCAAAACCACCCTCGCCCCCCCCTCCCAAAACCACCCTCGCCCCCCCCCAAAACCACCCCCTCCCAAAACCACCCCCCCCCAAAAACCACTCTGCCCCCCCCTCCCAAAACCACCTTCCCCCCCCCTTCCAAACCACCCTCGCACCCCCCTCCCAAAACCACCCTCGCCCCCCCCAAAACCACCCCCTCCCAAAACCACCCCCCCCAAAAACCACTCTGCCCCCCCCCTTCCCAAAACCACCTTCCCCCCCCCCTTCCAAACCACCCTCGCACCCCCCTCCCAAAACCACCCTCGCCCCCCCCCAAAACCACCCCCTCCCAAAACCACCCCCCCCCAAAAACCACTCTGCCCCCCCCTCCCAAAACCACCTTCCCCCCCCCTTCCAAACCACCCTCGCACCCCCCTCCCAAAACCACCCTCGCCCCCCCCCCAAAACCACCCCCTCCCAAAACCACCCCCCCCCCCAAAAACCACTCTGCCCCCCCCCCTCCCAAAACCACCTTCCCCCCCCTTCCAAACCACCCTCGCCCCCCCCCCCTCCCAAAACCACCCCCTCCCAAAACCACTCTGCCCCCCCCCTCCCAAAACCACCTTCCCCCCCCCTTCCAAACCACCCTCGCACCCCCCTCCCAAAACCACCCTCGCCCCCCCCTCAAAACCACCCCCTCCCAAAACCACCCCCCCCCCAAAAACCACTCTGCCCCCCCTCCCAAAACCACCTTCCCCCCCCTTCCAAACCACCCTCGCACCCCCCTCCCAAACCACCCTCGCCCCCCCCCAAAACCACCCCCTCCCAAAACCACCCCCCCCCAAAAACCACTCTGCCCCCCCCCTCCCAAAACCACCTTCCTCCCCCTTCCAAACCACCCTCGCCCCCCCCCCTCCCAAAACCACCCTCGCCCCCCCCCCAAAACCACCCCTCCCAAAACCACTCTGCCCCCCCCTCCCAAAACCACCTTCCCCCCCCCCTCCCAAAACCACCCTCGCCCCCCCCCCAAAAACCACCCCCCCCCAAAAACCACTCTGCCCCCCCCCTCCCAAAACCACCTTCCCCCCCCCTTCCAAACCACCCTCGCCCCCCCCCTCCCAAAACCACCCTCGCCCCCCCCCTCCCAAAACCACCCTCGCCCCCCCCCAAAACCACCCCCCTCCCAAAAACACCCCCCCCCAAAAACCACTCTGCCCCCCCCTCCCAAAACCACCTTCCTCCCCCCTCCCAAACCACCCGGCCCCCCAAACCAAATCTCGCCTCCCCCTCCCAAAACTACCTCCCCCCCCCAAAAACCACCCTGCCCCCCCCCCAAACCACCCTCGCCCCCCCTCCCAAAACCACCCTGCCCCCCCTCCCAAAACCACCTTCCCCCCCCCCAAACCACCATGCCCCCAAACCACCCTCGCCCCCCCTCTCAAAACCACCCTCGCCCCCCCTCCCAAAACCACCCTGCCCCCCCTCCCAAAACCACCTTCCCCCCCCCCAAACAACCCTGCCCCAAACCACCCTCGCCCCCCCCCCCCCTCCCAAAACCACCTCCCCCCCAAAAAAAAACAACTCTGCCCCCCCCCCCTCCTAAAACCACCTCCCCCCCCAAAAACCACTCTGGCCCCCCCTCCCAAAACCACCCTCGCCCCCCCCTCCCAAAACCACCTCCTCCCCCAAAAAACCACTCTGCCCCCCCCTCCGAAAACCACCTTCCCCACCCTTCCAAACCACCCTCGCACCCCCCTCCCAAAACCACCCTCGCCCCCCCCAAAACCACCCCCTCCCAAAACCCCCCCCCCAAAAAACCACTCTGCCCCCCCCCTCCCAAAACCACCTTCCCCCCCCCCTTCCAAACCACCCTCGCCCCCCCCCCTCCCAAAACCACCCTCGCCCCCCCCCAAAACCACCCCCTCCCAAACCACCCCCCCCCCAAAAACCACTCTGCCCCCCCCTCCCAAAACCACCTTCCCCCCCCTTCCAAACCACCCTCGCACCCCCCTCCCAAAACCACCCTCGCCCCCCCCCCAAAACCACCCCCTCCCAAAACCACCCCCTCCCAAAACCACTCTGCCCCCCCCCTCCCAAAACCACCTTCCCCCCCCTTCCAAACCACCCTCGCCCCCCCCCTCCCAAAACCACCCTCGCCCCCCCCAAAACCACCCCCCTCCCAAAACCACTCTGCCCCCCCCCTCCCAAAACCACCTTCCCCCCCCCTCCCAAAACCACCCTCGCCCCCCCCAAAACCACCCCCCCCCAAAACCACTCTGCCCCCCCCCTCCCAAAACCACCTTCCCCCCCCCCTTCCAAACCACCCTCGCCCCCCCCCTCCCAAAACCACCCTCGCCCCCCCCCTCCCAAAACCACCCTCGCCCCCCCCAAAACCACCCCCTCCCAAAAACACCCCCCCCCCAAAAACCACTCTGCCCCCCCCTCCCAAAACCACCTTCCCCCCCCCTCCCAAACCACCCTCCCCCCCCCTCCCAAAACCACCCCCTCCCAAAACACCCCCCCCCCCTCCCAAAACCACCTTCCCCCCCCCAAAACCACCCTCGCCCCCCCTTCCCAAACCACCTCCCCCCCAAAAACCACTCTGCCCACCCCCCTCCCAAAACCACCTTCCCCCCCCCCCCAAAACCACCCTTTTCGGGCCCCCCCCAAACAACCCCCTCCCCCCCAAACCCCCCCCCCCCCCCCCCCCCCCCCCCCCCCCCCCCAATCCCCCCAAACCACCCTCCCAAACAACCCCCCCCCCCCCCACCCCTCAAAAACCACTTACTGCCCCCCCCCTCCCAAAACCACCTTCCCCCCCCCTTTCCAACCCACCCTCGCCCCCCCCTCCAAAACCACCCTCGCCCCCCCCCAAACACCACCCTCGCCCCCCCCCCCCAAAACCACCCCTCGCCCCCCCTCCACCCCACTCCCCCACCCCCCCCCCTCCACCCCCCCTCCACCCCCCCACCACGTGACTCAGGCCTGGAGCACATGGGCAGCGCGCTCCCCTTCATGATGATGTCGCACCCGCTCCTCCCCGTCTCGCTGCCGCACGCCGCCTCCGTCACCATGGCGATGGGTCACATGACCCACCTCGGTGGCGGTGGCAACGCCAGCAACATGGCCGCCGGGGCCGGCGAGGCTCAGCCCGGACACCCGCTCCGGCTCGACGCGGGCCTCAAGGTAACCGCGGCGGCCGGGGGGGGGGGGGGAGACGACGCGACGGGCATCGTCGTCGTCATCATCATCACCCTCCACACCGACACAACAACCACCACCACCACCCCCCTTCGTCCCCACGCCAGCCCAGACACCCTCCCCCCACCCCAAATAAAATCTCAGCCGCGTCGCCACCGCCCACCCCTCGTGGTTGCCTCCCGCTCTGCAGCTGCGTGATGATGATGCTGCTGATGATGTTGCTGCTTATGATGTTGCTGTGCCTGCTGATGATGCTGCTGCTGATGATGCTGCTGCTTATGATGCTGCTGTGCCTGCTGATGATGATTCTGCTGATGATGGTGCTGCTTATGATGCTGCTGCTGCGCCTGCTGATGATAATGCTGCTGCTGCTCTTGCAGGAGGATGATGCTCCTGCTGATGATGCTGCTTATGATGCTGCTGTGCCTTGATGATGATGCTGCTGATGATGCTGCTGCTTATGATGCTACTGCTCCTGCTGATGATGATAATGCTGCTGCTCTTGCAGGAGGATGCTGCTGCTGCTTGTTGCGTGCTGCTCCTGCTGATGATGCTAATGCTGCTGATGATGCTCTTGCAGGAGGATGCTGCTGCTGCTTGTGTGCTGCTGCTTATGATGCTGCTGTGCCTGCTGATGATAATGCTGCTGCTGCTCTTGCAGGAGGATGCTGCTGCTGCTGATGATGATGCTGCTGTTTCTGCTGCTGCTGTTGCTGCTAATGCTACTGATAATGCTGCTGCTGATGATGCTGCTGCTCCTCCTGATGATAATAATGCTGCTGCTGCTCTTGCAGGAGGATGATGCTGCTGCTGCTGCTGTTTCTGCTGCTGCTGCTGTTGCTGCTAATGCTACTGATAATGCTGCTGCTGATGATGCTGCTGCTCCTCCTGCTGATGATAATGCTGCTGCTCTTGCAGGAGGATGCTGCTGCTTGTTGTGTGCTGCTCCTGCTGATGATGCTAATGCTACTGATGATGCTCTTGCAGGAGGATGCTGCTGCTTGTGTGCTGCTCCTGCTGATGATGATGCTAATGCTGCTGATGATGCTCTTGCAGGAGGATGATGCTGCTTGTTGTGTGCTGCTGCTGCTGATGATGCTAATGCTGCTGATGATGCTCTTGCAGGAGGATGCTGCTGCTGCTTGTGTGCTGCTCCTGCTGATGATGATGCTAATGCTGCTGATGATGCTCTTGCAGGAGGATGATGCTGCTTGTTGTGTGCTGCTGCTGATGATGATAATGCTGCTGCTTGTTGTGTGCTGCTCCTCCTGCTGATGATGATAATGCTGCTGATGGTGCTCTTGCAGGAGGATGCTGCTGCTGCTGCTTGTTGTGTGCTGCTGCTGCTGCAAACGCGCGATGAGCAGGGCTGGCATTGCAAGGGCAGGCGAGCAGGCAGGGCAAGCTGCCCTTGCGGCTCGCTCTCCCCTTGCTCTCTCTCCTCTCTCTCTCCTCTCTCTCTTTCCTCTCTCTCTTTCCTCTCTCTCTTTCCTCTCTCCCTTTATCTCGCAGAGATCGAGAAGGAAAGACGCGGACAGCAAGAGCCACGGCCGCTGCTTGCAATGCCGGCTGAAGGAATTGCCATCTATTTGTTTATTATTTTGGTAGATTGTGTCGTGCGATCCCATCGGCTCGCTCCTCACCATCATCTGACAGGGGGGTGGCGGTGGGAGGGGGTGGGTGATTAATAATACACGAGGATGGGTTAAATGAAAACTACACGCTAATGGATTGTAATTGAAATGCATTGTGTTCGTATCGCCGTGTAGATCCGAATTAAATATTCAAAACATTGCTCAATAACATTGCCCTGAAGAGGACAAGTGGCGTAATTGGTGACGTTTCGGGCAATCGTCGTCCTTCAAAGCGGAGGCACAGAGAGGTGGCCACACGGGCTTGAGTGAATAATAGTTGGGAGAATGCATTCGTATCCACCATGGTGCCCTGGTAGACATTTTCTTTTCAAGGCCATTTATTTTTTATTGTAAAATAAATTTATGATAGAGATAACCTCTCTGTCTCATATGAAGAAGGGGCTAATGCCCGAGATGTCATGTAGTGTATATATATATATATATGTTTTCCTCTTGAGGGTAGTGTTATTGACGAATGTCTAATATGAGCCACCTTCTGATATACCTATGACGATAAACTTGACACGTCAATAACACAAAGAGGCTTTAAAAGGAAAATTATGAAAAGCAGGCGACGTTTCGGGCATTAGCTCTAATCTTCACAATACGTAGAGAGGCCAGAGATAGAGTTTAGTTTTTATTGTTAATTGTGCTTGTGCCAATGCAGCAGTAACACCATTTACATGGTTTAAATTATATAATGCCATTATATTACGTTTACATCCAAATTGGTATAATAATCAATCAGCTGTGCTCAGTCCACTTCTGGATGAAGGCCTCCCCGTGCCTACGATGTCAGAATCAGCATCTTTATTCAGACTGGAGGAATCCGATGAGCTATGAATCTCTTTTGTTTTCTACAGATGCCCTGTGGGGACGCGTCAGGAAGTTACAACAATACAAAATATAAGAATAGGTTTGACCCTTTCTGGCAATGAAACAGGTGTTAAGATGTTAAAACACCAAACTGAAACCTTTTGCAAGGAATCCTGTCTGCATGAACCACATATACTATGAGAGCATGTGGTTTTTTATGCATGTTCACAACTATATGTGGTTAATGCAGACATGATTCCTTGCAAAAGGTTTCAGTTTGGTGGTTTAACATCTTAACACCTGTTTTATTACTCTTTGGTTCTTTCGGTAAAGTCACGTAGGTATAAAATAAAATAAATTAAATCAGGACGTTTCAGGCGCAACACAAGCGTCCGTCATCAGGTGGGACAACCGCAGCAAGAAACAATTGCTGAAGTGGGCAAAAGGGGTGCTTGTATCAAGAGGCCATATAGGTAAGGGGGGGTGGGGGGTAAAACCTATTCTGAAATTTTGATACTAACAATATAAAACCGATAGGAGTGCAAAAACACCAATAGGAATGTAACAATCCACATCGAACCCGCACATCAACTGATTCCATTGCTCCATCTCCTCAGGGGACGTGATGTCTTGACGCATTGCATCCGTTCAGTAACAATAATTAAGATGAAAATTATATTATAATACTATTACTCTATTAGAAAACTGTTTTGCTGGCAGGCAGGAGGGAGGGATGGGCAGTCACGTCCACAGGATGTGTGGGCTGCCAGTTGTTTTAAAGATTATAACACGGCAATCCATTTATAGACACCTCACTAAAATAATAGCGATAAATTTGAGAAATATATATTTGATTCCAAAGCCTCTACTCGTCTCCCACCAGTGCACGTGCATTCAGTATTTTAACTCTCTCCCCCATCGCTTTCACGATGTTGAGAATGCCTTAATCATCAGCTGTGATCAATCTCCTGCTGGACAAATGCCTTCCCAAGCTGTGGCGGTCCCCTCTTAGTTCTGCGATTCAGTAGTCGGCCCTGCACTTGTACATGAGCCAGTCCCATCGAATCCTATCTCCCCGCTGGCTGTCTTCTTTGGCCGCAAACCCTCCTTTGGCCGCCACTCAGTAGTTATTCTCGCCCACCAGCCGTCCTCTCGTCTAGCCGATGTGCCCACTTTTCTTAACGGTCAAGAATTACATCTTTAACGGACGCATGAATAATATATCCTTCGCGATAATATTTCGTGAGCCATGTTCTGATGGGCTCGTGTGCTGGATTGTTGCACCGCAGGACTGTGGGAGATGGCGACGGTTTGGGGGTGGGGGTCATCATCCAGCAGCGGATTGGTCACAGCTGCTGCTGCTGCGCCGGATGCTTGTTTATCGTATTGTATCTCAGCTGTAAACATTGCAGGCCGCTGCGTGATCATCTGGTTTTGTTGTCGGTGTGTGCGTGTGGCTCCTTGTTTCACGATGTATGTCACCCAGCCACATCAGCAAATTATTGACAGCTGCAGCACACAACAACAACAACCGCTACAACAACAAAGCGGCAAACAAACAGGAAGAACTTTAGGGTGGTGGGTGTGTAGGGAACGGTGGGGTGGGGTTCAGTGGGGGGTGTGGGGGGTGGTTAGGCGAGTGGTGGATAGAAAGAAAATCAAATCAATGCGCGCCTAACGCCAATGATTTAATAAAAAAACAAACGGAACCGGACAAAGATGCGGCGTTTTCTTTCCCGCGGATGACATCAAAGGAGCGCGGGTGATCTATAATTGGTATGCCGCGTGGCACAGCCATCCTTGATGGAGTGGGCACATCAGCAGTATCTGTGGCCTGAGTCAGCCAAAAAAATGCCGCTATTGACAGCCTTGTCTGCGGCAAATATTGGCACGGGTGACAAATGGCTCGTCTTCGCTCATATTTAATTCCGTTCTTGTTTACCCGTTAAGAGCTATCACTTTGCGTTTCTTGTTTTTTTTCCAGGCTTCCTTCCATGGGGGAGGCTGGGCGTGTGATGATTAGACTCTTATAAGCTGGGTTACGGTTGTGGGGTGGGGTGGTAGCGGTTGACGGTGGTGGGTGGATGGAATGTATTTATCTTTTTTGTTTATTTTTTTTCGGTAAACAAGATTAAATCGGCTGCGGTGTATCGCGAGGAGCCAATCGTAGATCACGGACGGCCTCGGCCGTAATCCGTTTAGGCTCGGCGGCGTGCATTTGTCACATCTCTCAAGTGAAGGGGGCCATTACTGCGCGATGGCGGGTATTATAACGCGTCCGATCGTGGCGGCACGTGAGCGGGCGACGAGCTCATTGGAAGCGACACGTTCTCACGGTGTGCCGAGCCGCTCCCGAAACACTTAGGCGAACAACGCATGTACGCAGACGAATGGACGAGTGAGCGAGCGAACAAATGAACGGACGGACGAACGGACGAACGGACGGATGGCAAATGTGGTGCCAGATGGATCTGTGCAGGGCCCTCCCCTTGCCTCCCCTCCACGTAGCGAACCTGTGATTAATTAGAGGCTGCGAATTAAAACATCACAGTGCACACGGCGCGAGCAGAACGCCTGTCTGCCTGTCCAAGTGTCGGCACAAGTGTCATCTGGCTGTCTAGCTGAATGTCTGTCTGACCAGCTGGCTGTCTTGTCTGTCTATAGGACTGTTCGCCTGTCTCTTCATGTGTTTGGCTTTGTATCTATGTATCTATATCTGCCAACATGTATGGTTACTTGTCTGCCTGCTTGTTTGTCTATGTATCTGCCTTTCTACTTCTATGCACATATCTGTCTTAATATATATCTCTGTGTACGTAAACTCGTCAATTTATTTTGTGGTTTGCCTCTCTGTGTGCCTGTCGGCCTACTGGTCTGTCTACTTACTAATGTGTCCGTCTCACTTTCAAATTGTTTACCATCCAACCTGCCTCTCTGTCTTTGTCATTACATTTCTACACGTCTTGGCCTGAATATAATTTTTTTTATAGTTGTTAGCCTGCATGTCTTTCTGTCTGCCTTCCTTTTGCACACCTGTCTGCTCACCGGTCTGCCTCTCCATCTGTCCGTGTCACCTCTGATGCCTCTACTCGCAACCACAAACCTCAATTCAAGTCACTGGCATTGGCTGCAGAGGCAGGGTCTGGCTTTCACTCTCGTTCATCTTTCCGTTTGTGTCTCTGCCCATCTGACCCATTATTCCAGCCACCTGTCTGTTTGTCCCTCCATGTGTCTGTCTGTCTATCTGTCTGTCAGTTCCACCCCCTCCCACCCGATGCCTCTTCTCGCTCGCGCACGCCTCTGCAGCGCTGGTTGTGGCTGCAGCGCGATGCTCGGGCGTTCACACTCAGATAAATCACGGGGGCAGCCGCCACGCACGCACGCCACGCGCCCCATAAATCAGCCTCCTCTGCATTTGGTCGGACGTCTTTATTTAATTACACGGCGGCATGCATCCGCATACCCCACGGGCGAGTGTTTTTCCGTGATTATGAAAGGGATTTCATTTTCGGAACGTGCGTGTTTGTGCTTGTTTGTCTCTTTGCACCTTCCTCCACCACCTCTTTGCGTTTGACCTCTGACCCTTACAATCATAACACCTCACTTATTTCCCTCCCTCTCTCTCTGGATCCCTCCCTGTTGACCCGGACTCCATGACCCCTGCTAGGAGAGGAGTGAGGAGAGGGACAGCTCCCCCGAGCCGTCCCCCATGCGGAGGCAGCGATCCGAGGAGCCCCCGTCCCCACGCCACTGCTCCCCGCCAGCGCTCGCACACGGATCCATCGAGCGACTCGGTGGGTCACGTGGGCGCACACGGGCCCCTCTACCGGGTAACCTGGGTGCTAGTGGGCATATTCTACGGGTCACTTGGGTCCTAGCAAGCATATCTACAGGGTCATCTGGGTGCTAGCAGAATATCTGCTCGCGGGTGCCTCAACCAGGTAACTTGAGTGCTCACGGGCATATCCACCCGGTCACACGTGCTCTAGCAGACACCGCTACTGGGTCACACGGGTGCTAGCAGGCACCTCTACTGGGTCACCTGGGTGCTAGCGGGCACCTCTACTGGGTCACCTGGGTGCTAGCGGACATTAATTCTGGGTCACCCTGACATCTAACCTGGGTCATAAACTTCTCTCATGCGTCACAGGGATGCTATGGAACAAATGTGTTTGAGAACAACCTTTCTGGGTCAAGCGGACGTCATCTCACCTGGGTCACGCACATTCATACTGGTGGACATCTCACCCCGGTCACAAAGGCACTGGCCTCCGCATCTCATGACGAACGTCCGTAGTGAGGGCGGTCACGTGGTCGCTCGCTGCAGTTGCACCCTTCGTGCCAGTGTATTTTTCCCGTAGAGACGGGGCTAGCGTGCGGATGTTTTGTCCCTACCCACGGGGTTGCGCTCTTACGCAGGTGTGCCCCTACACAGGTGTGCCCTTGCACGGGTGTGCGTTGGTGCGTGCGTGCGTGGCAGGAGGCGTGCACCAGAATGGGCTGTGCGTGGGGCCTGTGCCACTCCCCGCCATGGCCCCGCGGCCCGGCAGCCATGCCCGTGACGACGCCAAACACGACGGCAACGACAGGGGCCTCGCCGAGCAGAGTGAGTCACCGCTCCTGGTCGCCGATCGTTGCCACTCGTTGTCACCGCGCGCGTGTGCCGTTTCTGTCCCGTTTGTGGGGGGGTGGGGGCGGGGTGGGGGGTGACCCCCGTGTCTTCGCCAAACCGCGATGAAGGCACGGAAACCACAGCGCGGACACCCTCAGCAAAGCATGTGTCCCTTGCACCCCCCTCAAAAAACTATAACAGGCTCCCCCGTAAACGTAATTTGGCCCTGCTCACACACGCTTCACCGACGCACTATACGTCGCGGCAGCCGTGTAGCCTGAGCTTTTATAAAGAGGGGGGAGACCGGGCATGATACCGCAATGGCTTAGATGCCCATTGCTTAATTATACTTATCATGTTACTTGATTATAAGAGTTTAGAATGGGAGGCTGAGCCTTCAGTGGGGTGGTGGGGGGGGGGGTTCAACCTCTTTTGGCCACCCCCCCTACTCTCACTCCCCCCCACTCGATGCCACGGGGCTGCCTCAAGGACTTTTGTACACGTGACGGTGGACGAGTGGTGGAGGCATGAAGGTATGGGAGGTGTTTCTGGTGGCAGCGCATCCCACCACGGGATAGAGGGATGACATTGGCTCACGTGCTGGAGCTCGTGGGATTGTTACATCGCAAGTACCGTAAGAGAATGCCGATGGCTTGCAGGAGGAGGCCTTCATCCAGCAGTGGAGTGAACATCGCCGATGAGGACGACGACGATGACAGTAATCTGTGATTGATGACGATAGAAGCCGATGTAGTCCCCAGGTCTCGGCAGTGCCCGTTATGAAGTTACGCACGGACGGTTCGCGTGATTCTGTGGTCGTGACAGAATGGTTAGTTTGTAATTCATTGTGAAGTTGTGTTTAATTCACGACAGCGGCAAGCGCAAGGACTCGTGACAGCAGTCAGCATTCATTTGGGCACGGACGCGGCCCAGCGGCAGCATGTTCGCCTCTTGTCGCAGAGGTTCAAGGTTTGAATCCAGCAGCGGCCCCAGTTAATACCGCGGCGTTGTATTAAACGTAGTAATAATACCACGTGCCATCTGCTTCACTCGCAGCGGACGTTAGAGAGATCCCCCCGATGTCATTCGCAAGAGCAGGCCATCGTGTGCCCCCGTTATGGTCCACATTTGAACAGATTCGTGAATTACACTGCAAATTATTTGCTTTGGTAAAACCAAATAGCGATCCTGCTCTCTACTGGTACTCTGTATCCATCTGTGAAACACAGTGGCTGTGATAGCCTTGTGCTGTAACAATGGGGCAAATGGCAATTTATACTAAATCATTATTATTATGATCATCATCATCATCCTCACCTTGTGGGAAAGTCAATGGTGGTTGTCCGATGAATAGACTAATCCCTGCCTTTGGAATGTGGGATTTCCAGCACAGGCTGTGCAGGGGCGGTGCATGGGATATGAGCACCAATGCCTTCAACTGCTCATTTGCACAGGAAACCACTTTTGACTTTGACTCTGGGGCAGGGAGTGGGTGAGTGAGTGGGGGGGTCGTTGGGTGTCGGTGAAAACCAAGCATAAACGGTCTCATCAAATGCCTCTGTCTGACATTTGACATTTATATTTCCCCAACAAAATGGCAAGAGCCCAAGGAGCAAACAAAGGTGAACTAACGATAATTACGGCGATCATTCCGTAATTATTAAGGCCAAGGTCCAAGAGGTCGTCACGGCCCTTTGCCGTTGAGGCCGCCACACCCGGCCATCGCTTCTCTCCTGCTGCTAGATCCCTTTCGTCACGCGGCGGCGGCGACGGCGGCTTATGATGCATGTGGCTGCTTGTAATTCAGCACTGTGGAGGCAGCGAGGGTTGGCGGATCACGCACACAGATGTCGCGAAACTCCTTTACCGTGAACGTCGGTGAACGTCGAGGTGCCCCATATCCTGGCTCGCCAGGAGAAGGCTTGACAGCAAAGTGTGGTGCCAATGAGGGCGCCAGAGCTTGGGCAATTGTCGGCGACAGTTCTGGCTGCCTTCCTGCTTTGCTTGTGGTGTTCCCGTGTCTCTGGATCTACACATTTGTAACTTTAACTTTGAACTTCAGACCCCTCAGATGGGATACAATCTACATCTGACCTCCAAGGACCACTCTGACAGTCTCATTACTTCTGTCGCCATCTGGCAACTGCCTTGTCAGGAGGTGGGAGTGCCTCCACTTTACCCCACCACACATGGCTGATTAACTGTGGTGTACTGTACTCAATTATACTGCCGGGTGGACAGAGTCGGTGGAGAGGGGTGGAGAATTTCAGAAACTTGCACCGTCATTTCAGTTGCCATGCGCGGAGATCGAATCTGACCGGCGACCTCTGCATTGCACCACAAATTAGGGATTGCTTTTTTTCCTTTAATGGTGAGAAGGTGTGTTCTTGTGCCCGTGCACGCATGTGTGTGTGTGTGCGTGCGCGATCGAGTGAGCAAGCGGGCGAGCGGATGAGCGAGCGAGTGGGCAAGTGGGCGGGTGAGCATGGGGGCGAGCGGGCTAGAGTGGGGCCGCCCGGGCGAGCAGATGTTACGAGCCGCGGGGTGGCACCGATGGGGGCAGGGGTGGGTGTGTGGCGGGAGGGGCTGGGGGGGTGGAGGCAGGAGGGGGGCACAGGCTGGCAGAGTGCAGGGGGTTTGGCAGAGGGGGTTGGGTGGGTACAGACCAGGGCCACGCGAGAGGGGATGGAGCTGTGCGGGGGCGGGGATGAGAGGGATGGGGTTGGGCAGTCGTCCGCCCTTCTCCTCTGGTCCCTTGCTTCATTTGAAATGGAAAAACCTCCTTAGATCGGCCACCGGAACAGATGACTTACGGCCGCAGAGACACTGAAATCCAAGCCAGACCAAATGTTGCGTGGTTATAAATATTTTGTCCTGGGCACCGTGGGACCCGGGATGAGTGATTAGTGGCGATACAGCTTCGTCTGTGCTGCTACATCAGAGCGGAGATTTTTCATATTAACTTTTCTTTCTGCTTTTTTTCTGTCGACCCCCCCTCACCCGCCCCCCACCCCCTCTGCCCCTCCCCTCCGTTCTTCATTACGTATATTTTTTTTCCACCCTGGCACAGGACCCGGTCCTTATGCCTCAAATTGGCTGTAATAAACCCCTCCACTCACATCCACGCAACTTCATCCGAAAATTAAATTACATTTTAAATCATCGCATTAATGAACAGTTTGGGAAGAATATGAAATTTTGCGAGACACGTTCTCGGGTTTCAGATATCGCACACACACGCGCGTACGCACACCACGCGCACACACACGCACGCACACACATGCACACGCACGCACGTGCACCGAATACGCCGATATGACAAGATGTGGTGACGGTTCCGCGCCACGCGATCAGCATCGCGCGGCGGCGTGGGATAAATCGCTCGCCGATTAGCGGCTCCCAAACCCAGTGCCTGCAGTGCTTGCAGTGCTGAGGCTGTAGTGAGATAGACCCCCAAATAAGTTGATGTTGAAACTTTAACCAATTACTCAGTGATGCTGCTGCTCCATTGGTAGTGGTGCACAAGCATAGTCAACAAAACAAAACGAAATCTCAACACCATAAAAGGAAAAAAAGGAAAAATATATAATAGATGATGTTTTGGGCAATTTTCCCTTCATGACAGCACATCTACTTCACCTGTGTGGCCGATGTAGATGCAGAGCAGCAACTACAATTTCACATTCAGGGGGTCAAGCCAGATAACAACGTCAGGAGCAGCGGAGTGTAATTGCTGTGATGTCTCCTCTGTATTTGTGGATTCGGGCATTGCGTCGTTATACGTTGTACGGTCTGTTCTGGATGACTGCAGTTGCACGTTGGAGATATGAAAATTTTCCATTTGGACATCAGGTATCCGCATCTGCCATGGTTTGTGTGGACAATCAAACCCAGGGATCTTCTGAGTTGGGTCTTTCACATGGCACTGTGATATGAATAAGGGTCGTTGCATGAAACGTTTCCTATTATTCATCATGTTTCCTTTAACACCACAGCGTTATTAATGGCGATTGTTGTCAAGATGTAAAGCGATTGTCTGCTCAACTGAGCGTCATCTCACATTTCAGTGCTGGTTATTCTGCATTCCTACGGCGGGGATGAGTCGATCCATAGGACAAACGCTGTTAACTTCCCCACAAAAGTGGTACTACTCATTTTGTCGTCGTCTGCAGAGAGGCGGCGGGGCTGATTCTGAACCCCTCCCAACTGGGATGTGAACTCGCAACCTTCCGATGGCGAGCCGCCCGCTCTACCGCTGAGCCGCCCATGGTCCTTCGATGCGGACGAGCAAATCCGTGCGATGTTCCTTCTCAGTGAATTTTCTTTCGGAGACTTTTTTCTTTTTCTGTTTTGATTAGAATATTTGAATTGTAAAACAGAACAAAAAAATTGTACATGTATGTATAATATATACTGTATTTATATATATGCCCGGATGATGATATCGCGTCCGACGAGGAAATTGAGTGATGAAAATCAGCAGGTGGGATCCTGAGTCATGGTGACAGTGTGGGGAAGCCTTCATCCAGCAGTGGATTGATCATGGTTGATCTGATGATAACGATGGTAACGGTGATGTTGATATAATTTATACAAAGAGCCACCACGGAGCCTCTTGGGTCTTTCACGCAGGGCCTGCTGCTGTCCACGCCTGTTAACCCATTGCAAGCACAATCCTCTTTACCCAGCCCCCCTGTGTACTCTGTGATTATTGCTCTCATTTCTTCCTTCCATTTTCTCTCTTTCCTTTTATCTTTCCCGCTTTAGATCGCAACTAGGTTATGTATGTATTTACTAGCTGTGCCCACCCGGCTTCGCCCGGGACTTGGATCCACCACGCCCGGCCGCCTTTGTCTCCCCAGTGGCGATGTTCACACACCACAGCAGTTACTCGTTTGAGGCTGAGTCGACCTAGTGGAGGCCCAGGACCGGTTGAAATAATCGTCACCGGTGGTGGCCGTGAGCGGGAATCGAACTCGGGTCGCCGGGTTCGT